GAGAAAAAGAGAGGAGTAGTGAAGCAGGCGATCCTTCAATATCGGTAGGGTAGTGCGCTCACAAAAGGCTTATCTTCAAGGGGCATTCCTAAGGCCCCTGGCATACCAACAATGAACACAGCGAGAGGATTTGCCTCTTTTAGTCTTTTGTGAGTTCGTCTCAAAGTGGATAGTGCGGTAGTTGACATGTGAGTGGCCTACCAAGCAGTGACCTTGAAGCAGGTGCCATACTCTGCCTTATCACCCGCCTGGAGACTTTAGCCACGTGACCGTAACCTGAGACAAAATAGGCATAAAATACGTATAGCGTCTACTCTGCTGTCAATACCGAGTGAACAGGACAGCTGCACGAGAGCTAGTTTTCGGGGTTCCAAAGGAACTGCCCAGCCCAAAAGTTGACCACAAGCGGAACTCTTAAGATCATATTTATTTCTTTATTTATTTAGAAATACTACCAGTTTCCATCGGAAACTTTAGTAGGGTGGTTATAAATTAAAACACAATTTATAGATTTTATAGTGCAATGATGAGAAAAAAAAAGACAATGAGGAGGACGGGGCGACTCAGTGGAGACACGGCAGGATCTCAATACTATGTAATGCACTTGTAAATGGGGAAAAAACCATTAGACCACTGGAAAAGGATGAATCGCTGGGAACAAGTAGAATACACATCATATGAAGTGAATGATTCTTTAGATGTGGAGTGAACGATGGTGTCCGGTAAGCTATTTTACTCAGACACTACTCGCGGAAAGAATGAGTATTTGAAAAAGTTGTTGTTACTCTGTCATTCTGTGAGCAGCCTTCCATGATTCCTTCTCGTAGCTCTGGAAATGTGCGAAGTAACTTATTTCATTTTGTCTATAAGGGTTTGGTCATTTAATATTTGAAACAGGAACCTTAGTAGTGAGATTTTGGCCCTTTTCTCGAGTGGTGCTAGTTGAGCTATATTGCATAAGTGGGACGGTGAGTCAGAGTAGATAAATTTACTAAAAAGAAATTTAGTAGTCAGGCGATGCACCCTTAGTAATGAAGTCGATGTGGGTTGATGTAGTGAAGTCGATGTGGGTTTCCCATCTAAGGCTCTGCTGAAATTGGAGTCCGAGGTATTTCTACTGTTCGACTTTTTGAAGGGAAGTGTTGTCAATTCGGTAGGGAAATTCCAGAGTTCATATTTTATTACTGATTGTCATGTAAACGTTTTTTTTTTTAGTTTAATACCATTTGCCAATTAGTACAGCAGTCACTGATCACTTGCAGTGCACTGTCGAGTAAAAGCTGGTCGTTTTGAGTTGTGACTTCGGTATACAATATGCAGTCGTTCGCGAACAGTATAATGCTTACATCAATGTTGTCTACTGTGTCGTTAATTTGGAGTGATAAGAGAATAGGTGCTAGCACAGATCCCTGTGGGACTCCAGATGTAACTGTGGTTAACGGCGAACTGTGCCGGTTAACTTTGACGAACTGTTTTCTACCAGTAAAGTATGCTTCAATGCAACTAACAATTTTTCCTGAGCCAAGTAAGGTTTTAGGTTTTAGCAATCATTTTGTGTGTGAGACTCTGTCGAAGGCTTTGGAGAGATCTAAGAGGACAACGTCAGTTTGGCTACGATTATTAATTCCTGAGGATAAATCATGCACACATTCTCTTAGCTGCGTTACTGTTGAAAGTCCAGATCTAAAGCCATGTTGACTGCTAGTGAACAGGTGATTTGCCTCTATAAATGCAGTGATCCCATACAAAAATGGTCTATGGTCGTCTATGGAAAATTCTATGGCAGGCTATCACCCGCTATGGCCGCTTCTATGGTCAGCCAGAGAAATCCATAAACACAGCTAAAGCCAGCTAAAGAAAAAAATCTATAGCCTTGTGTCTAAAGACTGGAAACCAATACAATTTCTTAACCCGCCTATAGAAAATTATATGGCCATGAGCCTAAAGATTGGGAACCAATAAATTGTCTTTACTCGACCATGGAAAATTCTATGATCCTGAGTCTAAAGACTCGGAAGCCATAAATGTTCTTTACCCGCCCATAGAAAACTTTATAGCCCCGAGTCTAAAGACTGGGAACCAATAAATTGTCTTTACGTCTATAAAAAAATTATGGCCCGTGTCTAAAAATTCCTCCTTCATGGTCGTGGTGGTAGCGGTGGTCTACTAAACGATCCACTAAAACTTTTAACCCGGGCTTTTGAACTTTCCGACTTCTGCAACTTGATGTTTTCGAGCAGTTGCTTAATATCACCGAAGACAGTCTTATTTTAGTCGTCTACTGTGATACAAAAGTCATAGTTCTTGGGTCATTATAACTCCCGGAACCTACTTTTTATAGGAAAAACGCTCCAAAGTAAAAAAAATTAAAACATATTAAATTTCTGTAATACCTGTGACAAAACATGACCCAAGATATGCTCCCTGCCGTTGCAACCAGTCGTAAAAAACAGTAATATTTAAAAAAAAATCCCTTGAAATACTTGTGCAACAATTAAAATTAACTATTACCCCACTGAAACTGAAAATACATAACACTACAATCAAGCAATGGCTTCATTGCGATGTTCACCCCCCAATGTACTGAATTTCAACACTTCATTGTCAACATGATTCATCAAACTTATTAAAAATATAATTAATAAATTTTACTTAATTAGCCTAAAGATCTACATTTGCTTTTTCAGGATGTTGAATTAAGGGGTGGGGGCTATTTTAAGAGACAATTCAAATAATCTAATAATTAATTACGAGTAATATGCGCTCTGCCTCTCAGTGCTTATGCACAAATGATGGCAGTCACCGGCAAAGTCGGACTCAAGAAGACTGCCATATATAGCTCTAGTGCGAACTTAGCGTATATAGAAAGGGATTAGGGACCTCTGTAGCTGCGTTGTTGCTGTTGTAAGGGGGAGTGTTCTGCTTGTGTTCTGTGTATTCTGCGTGTCTAGAGATATATGTATATCTACCATGTAGCGTGCAGAAGTGGGGGAACTTGAAGTAAAGTTTTTTTAGAATGTGCTGGCTAAAGAGAGCCGTAGGATAGGCCATATAGAAGTCTTTAGCCAGCCATCAGAAAACTAAGGAGCGCTATCGCTGGACAGTGATAGGGCCATAGACAAAGCTAAAGAGGCCCATCAAGGCGACCATAAAGAAATGCTAAAGACAGCCATAGAAAATTGTTCGGCTAATTGGGCTAAATAGCTAAAGCCGACCACAGAAATAATTGTCTATATCCGAATATAGGACATTTTTGTATGGGGTGTGTTTTAGTACAACATGCTCAAGGATCTTGGAACAGGGCGATATAAGTGAAAGGGGCCTTTAATTTGACGGGTCTTTTTATCACCTGATTTGTGAATAGGTACCACGTGTGCAAGTTTCCAGTCACATGGTATTTGGGCTGTTTCTAGTGATTTAATAAATAGTAGCGTCAGATACTTAGCAGACCATTCCGCGTAACATCTAAGAAATACTTTTGAAGTATTATCTGGGCCACAGCTTTTCTTAGTGTCTAAACTTAGTAGGAGGGAGAGAATGCCAGGTTCAGATATAGCGATGTTATCAATGAATGGGGTCTGGCTGTGATTAAAAGGGGGTGTCCGTCCATTATCTGGTGTAAATACGGGTGCAAAATAATTATTAAATGCCAGAGGAAGTTCTGAGTGTTCGTGAGAGAGTGATTTGATAGCGCTGGATTTCCTTGGGTTCACGTATCTCCAAACTTTGTCTGTGGAAGTTCTAATAAATGACTGAAGAGTGGAGTTCAAATACGATAGTTTGGCATTTTTTATTTCTTGTTTCAGTTTACTATTCAGAACCGAAAACTGGTTTCTGTTAAGTGGTACTTTTTGCTCCTTCGCTCTTTTCCTTAGCCGGCTAAGCTTACGTTTAGTATGAATAATGTCTAGAGTTATCCACGGGTTATCCTTTTTTGTTCTTTTATTCTTGGTGAAGATGAATTTTATCATACAATAATTCACTGTTTTCTTAAGAAAATCCCATAAGTTATCTACGGAAGCATGGTCATCGAGAAAGAGTTCTAGAAGTAGATCATACTGCATATCTAGAAGATCAAGAATGCCAACATCGTCCGATTTGTAATAGTCCGGCAGTACGGAACATGGAAAGGAGTTGTTAATTGGTGGTCGCGTTTTGAAGGATGCCAAGACCGTTGAGTGATCAGAGATGCCGTCTAGCATATCTACTGTGAAATCAAGTATTTCAAAATGTTGACTTACAAATATAAGGTCGAGTAATGATTGAGATGAACCATGAACACGCGTGGGCTCCCTTACTATCCCCCCCCCCCCCCCCCTGGTCGAGGTTATAACAAAAACACAATTCAAGTAGAGCGTCCGCGTTTACAGGTTTTTCACACACATGACGTTCCCAGTCAATTTCCGGAGCGTTGAAATCGCCGGCCATGATGACTCGACTATTATTGTTTATATTTTCATCAACATAGCTGTGAAGAGTGTCAAAGAAACTAGGCGGTGCGCCTGGAGGCATGTAAACGGCACCAACAAAACATGAATACACGTGAAAGGAAACTTTGCACCAAATAAATTCAATTCCAGGAACATCAGCCATTTCAGTATATTTAAAGCCCTTTTTGATATCGATGGCCACCCCGCCGCCACGACCACCTCGATCTTCGCGTATTATTCTGTAGTTGGGCGGAACGACCTCGCTATCAAGAACACTTGGAGACAGGCACGTTTCAGTGATAATGACGACAACGGGATCGGTACTCAGGAAACATGCTTCAAATTCAACCAGTTTATTAACAACCCTTCTAGCATTTAAATTCAAGATTCTTAGTTCGGTTTGGCGACGCTCTTTATTTTTGTGCTGTCATGCTGGGCCTGATAGGCCGCTGTCGTGACTCCATCGGGAACCGGGGATTTATCGCCTATCGGTTCGTCCCACGCGCACAACACGTTGCTGATACGCACCTTGTCGTGGATAAGCGCGACTTTGTCACCCAATTTTCTTTTGTTGTCTTTAGTGCAATTCAAGAGCTTTTTTCTGATTAGCTGGACTCGCTTCGAAAAATCCTCGTTGATTCAAAAATTAGTGCCACGCAGTTAGGAACAGTTCCTTAGTATTGCTAGTTTATCTCTAAAGTCCTGAAGCTTTAGGATAACCGGTCGGGCTTTTCCGGGTGTTTGACTACCCAGTCTATGAATCTTTTCGATTCCAGACGTAGAAACGTGAAGAATATCTTCAATTATGGTTTTAGATACTCGTGCCCTTAAGCTATTACTGTTCTCATTTTCTGTTTCTTCTAGTCCGAATATTATTAAAATGTTTCTTCGACTGTGATTTTCTAAGTCGTATATCTTATCTACAAGGGTACTTAAATTCTTTTCAAGTTTTTCAATTTTCCTATGTTGTTTTATTAATGCAACTTTAACACTATCGATTTCTTTAAGCTTGACTCCTATGGCATCCAGCCTTCTACAAACTTCTTTTTGGCTAGTTTTAATCTCTTGAACGTCGCTTGCAATTACGGTAAGTCTGTCCATTATATCTTTCAATTCAACTGGTTCTGGATTTGATTCAATGTCTCCGCACAACAAAAGCAGGCTTTTCAGCGACAGTAAAATATCCCCAAGAACACAACAGAGGTACCGTGGGCACGCCAGCATTATCAAACACACGTTATTACTGTGGTATGAACAAGGATAACGTTTGCTCACCTGCACAATGAACACAAATGGGCTACCGACTGTCATGTTGACGAGGCCGCCGTGCCCACGAAGAAGGTCGAGTTTCCGCGCGACCTTTATGTCCCTCGGGAACGCCTCTTCTGCTGATGGTGTTGGCGCTGCGGTAGGCGGGTAGTGAAGAGTGGCGATGAAATCCAAAGAAGCGAACGCTTTTTAGCCATGGTTGATGTTCTTCAAAGTGGCATTCCCTGTGTCGGCTATGACGCTTCCTCGGCTAAATCCACGCTGTTCTCGTATCTCCGCTTGATAGTCGGCATGAGATAGCAGGAGGGTGACGAGTATCTGCACAATGAACACAAATGGGTTATCGACTGTCATGTTGACGAGGCCGCCGTGCAAGATGTCACCGTCGACCGCTCGTGCAAGATGGACGAGATGGACGACGACCTCCATGCCCAAAAGTGTGACCCGTGTATATATAATGTTACGGTGTTGTTGTTCGAAGAAGCAGTCCAGGAGCCAGCCTCCGGCGGTCGGTTTTTATTATGAAAGCATTAACTGTCCCATGGAGCACCGCCGGGTTTGTTTGTGACCGCGAAGTACGAGGAACAGATATGACGCCCATGGAGCGCAGCCGGTGTTGTTTGTGACCGCGAAAAACGTGCAACTAAGAGGGTGGCGCGCGCTCGGCAGCCCCTCTCTCACCCACTTGGGTCAGGTGTGAGACCCTCTCTCTCCTTCTTGGGACACGTGTCAGGCGTGGCCGGAGGCCCGGAAAGGGACAGGGGGAGCTGGAAATTCCCGCTCCCCCTGCTAGTCGCAACGCCGTACTCCCTGCCGGTGCTTCGGTCGCTTCTGCTACTCTCGGGGCCGAGAATGCTTTCGTATTCACCACTCATAAGAAATACTTAGGAGTCTTTTTGTACTCGGGACGACACTTTTGTCATTTCGCCCTACTCTCTTGTTCTCGAAGGTCCCTGTTAATTTTCACCCCGAATGCTCGACGCTCGAACCTTCTGGGTAGAATTTTCGAGAAGCTGACTCACACTGAATAAGGAGCTGCGCGTGACTTCTTCGAGTCAGTCCCGTTCTCGCATACTGTTACGCCGCAAAATCGCCGCACGCTTTTCTGCTGTATGGGCGCTTGTTTTTCTACTTCGAACCATACAAGGTGTCTCACGAAAAGTGGACAAATTCGGTATTGCGAAAACTACACGTCGCAACAAAAAAAAGGTTTGTGTCGTTTTGGTTGTGGGTCAGTGCATAATTTAAGAAAATTATAAAATTACGGGATAAATTAGACCGATCATTATTTTTGCGTAATTAACTTTTCCTAATATTCTCTTTGTGGGCTTGGTTTCATATAGAAACTTGCTGAGCATCATCGGAAAACGTTATATCAACGAATTGCAGAATTATAGAAGGCACGCGTAGAATTTTGCGTGTTTCTGAAAAAACCGCACAGCTTCGATGGGCTTTTAGGTTTCGGTTCGCAATCGAAGCCCATCTCCGCTTCGACGGCACCGCGCCCCGTAAAGAAATAGTGCAACGAACCTTTGCTGCGCTGTCCTTGCGCAACACAAGAGAGGCTGATTGCACTATTTTTCACGGGGCGCGGTGCCGTCGAAGCCGAGATGCGCTCCGATTGCAGAACGAACCTTAAAACCGTCGAAGTTGTGCGTTTTTTCAGAAAGCCGTAAAATACTGCGCGTGCCTTCTGTCGTTCTGCAATTTATTGATTTCGTGTTTTTCGATGATGCTCATCAAGTTTCCGATTGAAACCATGCCCTTAAACACAATAATAAAAAAGTTAATTACGCAAAAATAATTGCAAAATTAATTATCCCGAACTTTAGTCATTTTCCTAAGTGAGTCCCTGGCCCAGGATCAAAACGACAAAAGCCTTTTTTTGTTGCGATGCAGTTTTCGCAATACCGAATTTGTCCACTTTTCCTGAAACACGCTATATAGACCTTTTCCGCTTACTCTCGCCTCTCACCGCGAAGTAGGCATATCCGGTATGGGAGACGAAAAAATATCGGAACGTTTTAACCTGCAAATAGTAAAAAAATAGAGGGGAGGCGAAACGTGAATGTGTGACGGTTACGTTTATGTCTTAAATGCCTTATATTGGCGTAGCGACGGGAAAACAATGTTTTCGCCCGTACTGGAAGTGACAACAATTCGAGATGGCGGCGCCCTTGCGAAAAGGGTCTATATATATAGGGGCATCTTGGCTTGGAGGCCCAAGGCGTAGAAGAAAGAGATGCAGGGTAACGGTAGAAAACAAATCAGGAGGATTTTGTTCGACGCTTCGACCTGAGGCAGGTCTTCGTCAGGAATGACGAATATATATATATATATAGTGTACGTGTCCCAAGTCACCAAACTCGATCTAAAATGGACCATAAAAATCGACGCCTGCACGTAGCAATCTAAGCTTTCGGTCAAAGGTGTACTTCACGCGTAGGTCTTTTTTTTTGTTAAATTACAAAGCGTAGCTCCCTTTTTGTAAAAAAATAGTACCAAAAGCTTGCCAGGGTCAACGGTGGATGGCGACCCAGACGAACGAGTCTAGTCACGGGGTGCGTTTCGCGATCGTACTCACAGATGGCGTCGGAAGCAGCGTCGGAAGGTGCAGCCGACCAGCAAAAGAAAGCAGACGACACGCAGACGAAATCCGTTGGCAGCGAAAGCGTCGTCGTTATGCAGAGGCGTTTTTTCATACTTTCATTTTTGTTTTTATTACCCGCATTTTTTAATCCAATGTACATTACAAAAAGATTATGTTCATTTTGATAAACCACGGTGGTGGCGAGCCGTCTTGATAAGACTGTAGCGCCATCTATCAATGCAAGCGAAAGGCGGACCCTGCCACTTGACTGTGTCGACTGCGTCGCCGCCCGCCGTTGATCCTGGCAAGTTTCTTGGCCGTATTTTTTTGTGAAAAAGGAGCTACGCTGTCTAATTTCACATAAAAAGGTTAGAGACGTTGTAACCCCGAATTAAAGCACAGCTCTTGAGGAGGAGGAGGGAAGGGTACTTTTTTATTGAACACTGCGGACCACACGTTGTTCAAGCAGGATGGGGAGGGTACGAACTCAAGAACCCGTACAAAAAGGAAAACAACAAAACAAGAATTAACGCTATTGGAAAAACCAGCATGAAAATCAAACTGGTCAAGCTGGTAACTAAGCTGGGCAAACTGGTCAATGTGAGTGTCAAACTGGTGTAACTGGCAATCAAGCTGACTTGAGCTAGGCAAGCTAGAATTTAAGCTGGTCAGTCTGGTTTAAGTAAAAACCACCATGGTCTAACTACAATCTGGTTTTAGATTCAATCTAGTGTAGCTGGGGGTCAGTCTGGTTTTAACTGGTCAAACTCGTCAACCTGGTTTTCCATGGAGCCAATGTGGTCAAGCTGGGAGACAAGCAGGTTAAGCTGGGAGACAAGCTGGTGAAGCTGGTCGAACTCATGATCGTGGTGGACAAGCCGGTCTTGCTGGGAGTGCGCACGCCCAGGTCGGCTGAGGCTGGGACGAGGCCACGTTCTGCTCTTTGTTCTCTCGTTTTTAGCAGACGACCGGACTCTTGCACGCTGCGAGCTGCCTTTGTGCGCGAGAAAAGAAAGAGAGAGTGGTAGGAACGGAGAATTTGAGACACGTTTGACTATCTTGGGCAAATTTTCGAAGGGACGGCTGTGTGCGCGTTATTTGAAGACTACTTAACACGGTGCAAGCGAAGCGGGATTCGAGGGGACAGCGAGCGGCATGCAATACGTTCAGCGTGGGAAGAAGTCCGACGCCCCGACTGAGGCGTCGCTTCGTGTCTTCGAACGTGCATGTGCTCGTGAATGACGGTGGTGCCGAGGAGTATCGCCAATGCAATGCAAGCCACACGGATTTTCTCACCTCTGCCGACCACGCAAAAGGCCGCTTCGCCCCTATCACTGGCGGAAACCAGGTTCCTTTCTCTGATCCGTGTAGTATTTTCTACTTCTATTTTCTGTTTTTGGCGTGTCCAGTATTTTTTGTGTTAAGAGATAAGAAATCTAGGTTTAATAACATTGTTTGTTTTGCACCGAGAACCACAGTCTGCGCGTCCATTAGTACTTTGTCAGCGCCGAAGATATGTAGTATCTGAGCTCATGTGAGCAGGCCGCAAGTACAAAAATAATAAATTGGATGCCGAGTTGGATTTTCTGAAGCACTTGGCTTGTTTATCCTGCGTATTATTTAAACAGGTTAAACTGGTTGGGGAGTCCTCCAGCCTGACCAGTTTAACCATCATGACCAGCATTCCAAACTGGGCATGCTGGGCAATAACCCAGCTTGAAGTTGGGACCGGACTTACCATCATGACCAGTACAACCCGATCAACCAACATGACCAGTACAACAAGATCAACCACCATGACCAGCATGCCAAACAGGTCATGCTGGGGCAATAACCCAGCCTGAAGCTGGGACCAACTTAAGCTGTTTTTTTTTCAATAGGGAATGCATAAAAATCGGCAGAAAATATGAAAGAGGCGGTACAATACAGAAAAACAAGTAGCTAGCCGAGAAGCAGAATACCGAAACATGCAAGCACCAAATAAAAAAACACCAACACACATCGATATACAAAAACACCACAACAATAACTGAGGGGAGGAGGTGGAAAGTCCCCCACTACTAACGTGGGTGGGGATCGACGTGTGCTTAACGCTAGTCGCAGAAACTGCACAACCTTGGTGAGAGCACCGCGTGTAAGTTTAGCGGAAATTCGGCGGGGCAATTTTTCCCCCTACCTTTAGCGGGGAATTTTTACACTAGATTTAGTGGGAAAATATTTTTCCTCTAAGTTAAGAGGGGATCCTTTTCCCGCTGAATTTAGCCGAGCAATGTTTTCCGCTAAATTTTACGGGAGATTTTTCCCGCTAAATTTAGCGGGGACATTTTTTTCCGCTAGGTATAGTGGGGAAATGTTTCCACTAGATTTAGCGGGAAAATGTTTTCCGCTAGATTTAGCGGGAAAGGTTTTCCGCTAGTGACGTCACGCGTCCCGT